ACCATCTAGCCCGACTGATTATACCTGCAATTTGACTTAGCTTAGTAGAAAGCTTTTTTATATGCTCTTTAAAAGATAGCTGTGAGTCTACACTCTACATAAACACCTAAGAACTTAACACATGGAGCGTGCCTGATGTTATTGCCTTCAATATTTATATTAAGTTGATTTTGTTCTTTTCTTTTGGTATACACTTGATAGCACGTTTTTTCAAGATTCAGTTTAAGCTTGTTGCATTCAAACCAAGTGTTGATAAGTTGTAGCTCCCTATTCATCTTGCCTTCTAGTTTGTCATACATGCTGTCACTGAGGAAGATATTAGTGTCATCTGCAAAGGTTATGATATTCAATTGGTTTGATATGGTGCTTAGGTCATTCAAGTAAATAATGAATAACAAAGGGCCTAAAACATTTTTGGGTATGTAAATTTTTTAAAATTTGGCTGGGTAGGTATTAATTCATGTATGTATTAAATTATTCTGTTAATTCTGTTAATTCTGTTAAAATAATTATTCCTATGTATTAAAATTCATGGACTTTTTATACCAGACAATTATCAGGCAGTGAAATGTTAAGCACTGCAAGATCTTACACGCGGTAATTATTACTGTATTCCAGTTGCAGTCACATTGTACCCAACGACCCATGGGGCCTAGCTTTTTGGTGCGTAGGTTAAGTACGCTCACCTAGCGTAGGCATAGTTAGTATGCACTTTACATGTTTGACCGTGACCCAAGGCGGAGGGGGGAGGGGAGGGAGTCGAGCACCGGTCCATCTGGCTGCCGATCGAGCCCCTCTCGGAGCCCGGTCCCTCACCCCTCAGAGGCGACGCCGCTCCTTCGCGGACCTCGTTACGTATGTGTTACGGCGGCCTGGTGTTCCAGTGAGATTCGGTGAGATGCAGTCCCTCCGCGGCAGGCCGGACGGGTAAAGTCCCGCCAGCTATACAGACAACAGTCGAACCCCGTCTTATTCAGAGGAGGCGACGAGCTCCACACGGGCGGAGGAAATCGGCATCAGTTCGGACAAGATGCCTGGCCTGCTGAAAGATGGATGCTCTCACTCAGAATAAAATTATGCTCAAGACTCGTAATTTCATGAGACCGGGGATCGTCCCCAGTTGTATTAACTTCTAACGGTACCTATCCTCCACAAACCTAGTTAAAATGTTCTTGGCAAAATGTCGAACATATCCTCGGCCGAGCAAAACTGCCTGGGAGAAACTTTGCGTCGTTGAGGGACGTATCTGAGGATTTAAGGTGGACACATTTTTGGATGGAAAGGCCACACAGTTCGAAGAATAGACGTTGTTCCTATGGAGCTGCGGGATGAGCCTCGGACTTCTTCTTCAGCCCCTCTATGCAGACTCGGCCTCCGTCCTCCAATCCCCGGGAGGAGGAGAGGGCCCCACTCGGGCCTCTGCTGCAGCTCGCTCCCCCGGGACGGACGGACGTGGCTCCCCACCCTAGCGCCTCCGTACGGCGCCGGCGCGCCTCAGTGGGGTCCGTGGCGCTGCACAGCCCCGCTCCGGTCGGCGCCGAACCGAGCCTCTCCCGATCTGCATAAGTCGCAGTTCAATGCTCTCTGCTGGTGGTGCGACGAGGACAGGCGCAGCGCGGCGGATCCGGCGCGGCACGCGCCACCGCCCGTCGCCGGCGGCGGTCTATATTGTCGGTCGGCGGCGCGGTCAGATTCGGTCCGTGACCGTGTCACCTGCCGGCCGGCGCCCCTGCCTCCGGTCTGCTCTGGCCGTCCCTGTGGTCCCTGTGTGCGCCGCTCGCCGGTCCGTCTCCACCAGCGCGCGGCTCCTGACCCCCTTCCTGGGGCGCCGCGCCGTCCGTGCGGCCTTCGGCGGCCGGTTGCAAGGCTGCGGCAGGGGCGGCGCGGGGGCCGGGCAGGCTGGGCCGGACAGGTAACTGACCCCGACCTGCCGGCCGGCCGGCCGGTCGGTCCACTGCAGACGGACTGCACATGACACCAGAGACGCCGGACGTTGACCGTCACCAGCGCCGACACCGTGTGGGTGCAGCAGGCAGCGCGGCCAGCAGCGCGCCGACACCAGATCATCCCCGCCAGATAATCCCCACACGGCGAGAGCAGCGTGTAGCCTGCTGGACATGAGCCATGGCCATCTCGTCAGTTGCCAGTTGAATGACCTCCACAAAATGGCAGCGAACTCGCCCAGCGAAAGTGGCGTAGCCCGTAGGTAAATGTAGCCGGCCCGTTCAACAATGAAAATGTAAATAGACAACATTAAGTGCACTCTTCTCGAAATGTATGTTTTTTATAAACCGCATAAATCGCCCGTGTGATTCATAAAGGAATTAGGACTGCATCGTTCATGATTCATGGAGCCTCCCTAGTCGCCAGGAACAGGAAAGATCCTTCTCGTCCTCGTATAAATATAGCACGCACGGTATTCGTTGGAGCAGACACATGTGTTGCTGACAGCTTCCTCAAAAACTCCTTGACATTGATGCGCACTCGAGTCGCGATATTTACGCTGTGCACTGTGCGGTGTCTCTCTCTCCAGCGTCCCTGCATGGGCGCCATCAATGTGTATGTACATCCGGCTAGAGCCGTGCACAATAAACCGCTCATGTTCCTGGGGCATCAGAAATAAACAACGTATTAGTCGCCGAAGCCGGCAGGCTGCCGGGGTTCCGAGCAGTGCATCGGCTGCATACTCAGCAGGCTGCACAGCAGAGGGAAGGCGAATGCATCTCGATCGGCGTCTCTCCGCGGCGGATCGAAAGCGGCAATCTCCGGCTGTGCAGCGCACCGCCCATTTGCGCCGCGTCCGCATCTGCAGGCCGGCTGCCGGCGGGCAGGGTAGCCCAAATACAGCTCGGCGGCCCGCGACGGTACGAACACGGCTGCTGGGGCGGACGGTGGACGGGGTGGACGGTGGACGGTGGTCGGTGGACGGTGGACGGTGGGCGGGACGGGGGACGGTGGACGTTGGGCTGTTGACGGCGGGCGGTGGACGGTGGACGGGGTGGACGGTGGACGGTGGTCGGTGGACGGTGGGCTGTGGCAGGGGAGCAGGGGTGGACGGTGGACGGAGGATGGCATGAGCGGAGGATGGCATGAGCGGGGGCGGGGCGGGCGGTGGGCGGTGGGCACTGGGAGGAAAGTATTGAATGGAGCACCGAACCAGCACCCGCGAGACTGGGATAAACAGCGCGACCGCCGTGATCAACGGCCACACGCGGTCACATGCGGTTTCAGATTCCGTGGCTGCAGATAGGGAGAAGCATTGTCGTCGGATTAAATCATCAATCTTGACGTGCTCTTTGTTCCAAGTGATTGCTATGAACTACTGAAAAAGTTTCGCTGGTTAGAGTCCAGTTAAACTGATGCTGAACGCGCTATTACCGAACCAGCTAATTGCGGCGCACTCGTTTCTCCGACGAACCCCATGACCGACCCATCTGCGTCATCAATGTCGCTCTCTGTCGCAGTTCGTCTCACTCCGGCAGCGGAGAGCCTATCCGGACCGTAGCTACAGTGTGCGGCCGGCACCAGCCGTACCTACTGCTGCAGCCGGCGAGACGCAGCGGCCGTCCGCTGGGGCGCGGAGGGCGGCGCCGACTCGCGGCGATCGGTGGCGCAGCCCGCGCCGGAACCGCCGCGGCGCAGCGCGGTCGGACGGACGGACGGACGGCTGTGCCTCGGGCTGAGAATGCGCGGCGACTGGCTGCGCAGTGAATACGCGATGAGAGTGTTTGGAGAGGCGGAGAATTAGCGCCCGCAGAAGACGGTGGAATGCGGCCAGCTCGGCGCGCCGGTGACACTGCCGCGGCCAGCTCGGCGCGCAGCGGCCGGCGGCTGAGAGACTGAGGACTGAGGACAGTTTACTGGTACCCGGACTGAAGACAGTCTGCTAGACCAGGGGGGGGGGGGGGCGACTGAGCCCTACCACTTCCACCGCGGCCCGGTCGTCTCTTGGAATCTCGATCCGCCGTGAACCACGTGATTTAGCATCAGCGAGGAATGCCAAATGTGCTACAGTGATTAGCAGATGCAGGAATCGAAAGAATGCAGAATATGACTGGGATAGGCAATGCCTTTTTCACCCAATACCGATAACGTTGATCGTGCCACACCTTCGTGGCGGTGGCAGTTGATATGGTAGCAGTCATTAACATGAACATGACTCTTGGCTATCTGTGCGAGCTCCGACGAAAGAAGCCATGTGTTGGCGATATAATATCGGCACAGACATTCCGTACGGGCTGTCAGCATTGTACCATGGCTTGGGCATTAGCATAAACAGGTTGCGATAACAATAGCTGGGTCAGAACGTGTCATTGACCGGAGGGTCATTGACCATGCACGAGCATTTGGGAGGGATTTCCACGACTGGTGCATGCATAAGAAAGCGTATGTAAAGGAGCATAGGCTATGCCCATGACATGGAGAAGCTTTTCAAAGTATACAGTAGGCTTTGAGAAGGGTATTTTGAAGAAAATAATTTCATGCCTTACCGAAGCTAGGATTTCTTTTTTCGGGCGACGACACTTGATGGATTGCTTTGCTTTTGATTTCCGCGTGAGAGACAAGTGTCTACAATCAACAATGCAATAATCTTAGCAAGTTTTACAAGGGCTGTATAGCATACCTATCGCGGAAACATTTTCATTTTCATTTATTCCTTTATCACCAACGGGCGTTACCCCAGGCCCAATGACAGATGAAGTCAGCAAATAAAACACAACCATTGTGTTTTCATTTGGTTTTCGTTAAATAAGAAGTAAATGACTGCACTTTACCAGGCAGCGATCAACCTGAACCAAGAACTTTCGGTTTACACAGCAAGGAAATCGTGTTTCGGTTTTATCACGCCGTTTGCTCTGCAAGTGCATATCTTGTGGAGCCGACAGTCACTGAGCCGTCAGCAGTGAGCCCCTCGCGCTCCGCTGCGGCGGCGGGTCCCTCCCGTCCCTCAGCAGTGGGCCCGTCGCCCTGCGCTGCACCGTCCCTCCCGCCGACCTCACCTGACTTTGACGGTCCGTCGGCGCGACCGGCCGACGACGTGGCCGGCGAGACGAGCGGCGTCGAGCTCGACGCGGGCGCCGCCGACGAGGAGGGAGTCGACGAGGACGCGTCGCTGATGACGAGGGCGGGCTGGGCGGGCGCGGGCCCGGGGCTGGGGGCCGCCGCGCCCGCCGAGGAGGTGCCCGCAGGCGGCGTGGGCGGCAGCAGGGCGCCGTAGTCGGCCGGCGGGCTGCACGGCGGCTCCTCGGCGGCGGCCTCCGCCTCCTTCTTCAGGTGGTTCGGCGAGAGCGGCGCCGACGCGTCGAAGAAGGCGAACCCGCTGAGGTCGGTGGTGGTATCGAACGTCACCTTGGGGAAGTCGTCCAGCTCGGGCAGGCCGCCGCCGCCACCACCGCCGGCCACGCCCAGGCCCTGGTCGTGCGTGAATATGTCCATGCCGAGGGAGTCTCGGGGTTGCACTGTGCTCGGGTGGGGCGGCTCGGGCGCTGTCGCATCCCCCGCCCGCGTTCCTCTCACTGGCGCGGTGCGCTGCGCCCGGGCTGCACGGTGTGCCGGGTGTCCGCGGGTGCCGCTCGGGTGTCCGCGGGTGCCGCTCGGGTGTCCGCCGGTGCCGCTCGGCCGTTCTGCGCACCGGCTGCTGCCTGGCGCGCCGCGCAGCGTTTCGACCACTGCCGGCTGCGGGCCGAGCGGAGCGCTTCCAGCAGCGGCCAGCACGTGCTGGCGACCCGGTGCTGGCGCGCGGCGCCGCCTGGCGGCCGCCCGGTACCGTTGGATGTTGCGGGAGGCGGGTTCAACGACCGGCTCTCCGTCTCGCCAGCGGCGCGCCGCACGTCTCTAACTGTACCGGCGTACCGGCCGGCCGGACCCACCACTACAGGCTCACTAACGATCGCTAAGCTTTTTCGACTCGATTTAATTAATTTGGCCGGCGGCGGCGGCCGGTCCCCGGGGCGTCCTCGGTGGGTCGCCGCCGCGCCGCCGTCGGCGACTGGTCCGCCCGTCGGTCCCGTCGCCGGCGGGGAGAGGACCGCCACGGGGGGACGTCGAGCGGCCACAGGTCGGCCCGGTGAGAGTCTTCCGGGGCGACGGAGCGTGCGCTCCACGGCCAGGGTCGGCCTGCTGCCGGCCGGCGTAAACAGACTGTCCACGGCCCCACGGGCAGACGTGTAGCCGGAATTCCTGGCTCGGCCTGGGAGGCGGGGACCCGCCGCCCACCGGGCCGCGCCGGGGCGTGTCTCAGACGCGGCCACTGGAGCTGGGATCCCAGCTGCCGTGGTATATACGGCGGTAACCACCGCCGCCGTCGGTCTGACTTGCCGCTGGTGGCTGACGGTACGGGATGCTAGGCAGGCCGGCCGTCCCCTGGTCTGTGCCGGGACACCAGCCGTCCCCTGCGCTGTGGAGGACCTGACCAGCCCTCCACTGCTCTGTGCCGGGACACCAGCCGTCCGCTGCTCTGTGGAGGGACACCAGCCGTCCCCTGCTCTGTGGAGGGACACCAGCCCTCCACTGCTCTGTGCCGGGACACCATCCGTCCCCTGGTCTGTGCCGGGACACCAGCCGTCCCCTGCTCTGTGGAGGGACACCAGCCCTCCACTGCTCTGTGCCGGGACACCAGCCGTCCCCTGGTCTGTGGAGGATCTGACCAGCCCTCCACTGCTCTGTGCCGGGACACCAGCCGTCCCCTGGTCTGTGGAGGGACACCAGCCGTCCCCTGGTCTGTGGAGGACCTGACCAGCCGTCCCCTGCTCGGAGCCCCGGGTCTGACGGGCCGGCAGATGGCCCGTGCTCGGTGGAGGACCTGATCGGACGTGCCCTGATCGGTGGTTTCCCCTGCTCGGCGATGGGACGGACCGTCCCTCCCCTGCTCAGTGATGGGACGGACCGGCCCTTTCCTGCTCGGCAAAGGACCTGACCGGCCCGGACTCCGGAGGCTCCAGAGAAACCAGTAACCAGGGGATGCGGGGTGGAGTTCACAGTGTGATTGGAACCTGCGGTCCCCCGGCAAGCCGTGCCGTCCATATCTGTCGTGGACTTGCATATTCTGTCATTTTTTATGTGTTAATACCGGGTGGCCGGGGTGTGACAAAAACGTTATATCGGGTATGGGTATGTATGTATGTATGCTTGTGCACTCCGAAAACAAGGTTTTGGGGAGGTACATCATACACTGTCGTGGGCCACAAGCGAAGCGAAGTCTCGCGGAAATGTCCTGCCCAGACCACCAATCACGTTTTAGCTGAGGTTTCTTGCCCTGGCAGTCACAGTTAAAGGTAGTGTGCCACCTTTGAAAGATTTCCCATTTTATTTTTCCTAGGATAAGAAGCTTCTGTTTTTACCTAATATCGCAAAAAAAAAACAAAATGGGCCTGGAATAGTGCCTTTTTCGCCTAAAAGTTTATCGGTTTTTCGATATGTATAACAACTGTAGTGAGCTCACCTGCAAACAGGCGTCGGCAACAATCGCGAATGCGGCGCACATGTGACAATAAGCAAAGGTCATTATAGAGTTACGACGTACGGGAATGAGTTATCAGCTGTCTAATCGTAGACAACACAATGTCGAGCCTTAAACCGTAAGCCTGTATTGGTATTGTTTCTTTTATTTGGCTGTCGAACATTAGTTATGGTTTGAAATATGATTTTATGTAAAATAATTGATATGAAAAAGCCGTCTCTTAAGTTGTGACCCCATTTCACCACACGCAAGTGGCAGAAATGACAATGATCAGCTGACGCATTTTTCTTGGCCGAAGTCAGAGCGCGCGGCCCGACGCACCACCACCGCACCACAAAGTATGAGCAGAAGCCGCGCCCAAAGCCAGGGCCCCGGTAACGTGAGGTAGCCGAGTCGGGGCAGCGTGCGCTGACCCAAGCCGGGGCCGCAGCTTTGGGCGCGGTCTACCGCATCCCCGCGGGCAGCCCCGGGCTATCACATGACACCGGGAGGACGCGCGGCCCCGGCTTGGGTCAGCACACGCTGCCCCGACTCGGCTACCTCACGTTATCGGGGCCCTGGCTTTGGGCGCGGTCTACCGCACCACCTAACAGGCGTGTTCGAAACCGCAGGAGATGATGATGAACGGGTTTATCGAAACTTGATTGGATGAGCATATCGGTAATAGCGATTTCAGTGTGTGCATTTATTGTTCATAGTGGTGTGAAATGTGGTTGGGGTACGACCGACAACCCGTCGGGGCGAATTTCGCACTGGGGTACTCAAAATTTGAAGAATTTAAGACGTTTCCATGAGTTTTGAACGTATGGATAAGTTCTGAAAATCCGGTTCTCCTTATCTGGGCCATTAACTCCATACGGTCCAGGAAAGCTGGCACACTACCTTTAAATTATGAAGGGGCATCTCGCCCTGATCCGCGATGCAGTTTTGGGAAGGTACCCTGCCCTGATCTACAGATGTGCTATTCCGTCCGTGATCGTCGCCGCGTTTTACCCGCGTCCCACTGGACTTGGAGGGGGGGGGGGGGGGCGAGATACCTATTCGTGGCCCCACTCTCCTTTTTCGGCAATAACTTCTAAACTGCTATACCTACGCACTTCAACGTTAAACTTTCAGCAGGGGAGGGTGGGGCACTTTCGTGCATGGGGCATTTCGTTTTCAGCAGTTTATGGGAAAACGAGTGACTGCACGAGCTCAAGGTAAATTATGAAAATATGTCTATCATTGCGTGTACTGTAGAAGACAACTCTGTATCTGCTGTCACGTTTGATAAAAACGCAAAGTTGTAATATTCGTGCCCTTTCCAAACTTTTCTCATAACATCCGTATTCGTGATCCTGACTCGGAAATGTGGTTCAGCTTTTCAAAATTGGGGGCGAAGAAGCTCACTCTATTCACGGAACTGCTGCAACTTGTTTGTTAAAAAAGTGTCATTTTTTCAACAAGAAATTTTGAAATATATTACAAATAACGTGGTGGAGCAGGTTCGTCGTGCACGCACTGCCTAGGGGCATATTTGTGCATACTTTTTTCGTTTTTGCGATTTATAACTTTATCCGTAGTAGGTGTTACTTATGACGCTCGCCTGACTCAGTCTCGGCTGCTTGCGACGTCGTGATAAGTAATTCACGCGACCCTGGCGAGGTCACGGAGGCGGGCCGATGACCGGCAGTTGGCACATTCTTGTTGGCCAGCCCATTTCTTTCTAGATTTGTTGCGCAATGCATTCTTGTCGAAAGGAATCAAGTGAAATGACCCCCTGCCAATTTCTTTTGGTACATTTCTGGTAATGCCCGGTAATTCCTCGAATTTTGCAGGGTGCACGAAAGTGTCCCACCACTTGCACGAATGTGCCCCATATCTGGGGCAGGTTCGCGCAAATGTTCAGAGTTATTAATAAAAGTAATTTTTAATAGAAGTGATAATTTTAGAGTGTAACTTTTAAAGAGGAAAAATATGTGCAATAGTTCCTTTCCATACTACAATCAACAATTTTGCCATTGCACCAACCAAAGAACAGATATATGGATTTGTCCTTTTTTGGCACGAATGTGCCCCACTCTCCCCTACGTTCGGCTGCATCATTATCGCCTGAACCTCATTGCTGGAAATCCACTAATTTTTTTATATAATAGGGCGTACATTGTACAACTACAATAAACATGCATATTGCATAAAATGTTACAGGGCAGACCTTTTGGCTGTGTTATCATTGAATCATTCTGGAATAGCCCTCGCCCCATTGGGGGGGGGGCATTTTGGCCCCCCCTGTGGTTTTTCCTGAATAGCAAGAAAACGGCGGCGCGCAGCGCCGCCGCCAAATTTTCAGTACCTTCCTGGGCATCAATTTGACACCTTCACACCAAATTTCAAGTCTTAGGTCACCTTAGGTCAGGAGTTATTGAGGTCAAACTGAGGTCATGTTCGAGCAAAAATGAGCAAAAAACATGCAATCTTGAAAACGCTCACCAAATCTACAGTTATCAAGCAATTTCAAAGTTCTTTATATGGTCTATTAGACAAAAAGCGGCGCTACAAAACTGCTATCTCGGATTTTCAAAATTTTGGGTTTTTGACCCTAAAAATTCAAAAAATTGTTTTTTTAAGAAAAACTAAAAAAATCCCAACATTTTCCGAATTTCGAAAAAACCGGAATATATGTGATAGACCCTGCGCTCTTCTATATACATACTAAATTTCAGATCGATATCTCGTTTTTTAGCGAAGTTATAGCGAAAAAACTGTTCAAAAATGATGACGTCAAATTTTTGAACTCAATTTCTAGCGATTCTAGACCACGTACGGCAAAACAAAGACCACCATTGAACTCCCCGTGACGAGCTGCATCGATTCGATACCCATTTTATGCAAAAATATTAACTTTGAAATTTGACCTAATTTGACCTGACCTTGACCTGACCTTGACCAAAACGTGACCTAAGCTGGCCCCAAAGGCTGCCTGACCCACATAATCGCATTTGTCATGTAAAATGGACCATAAAACATGTATCACACGACACTTTCATATTGTGACCCCCCCGTGACCTGACCTCTGTGACCTGACCTGGTATCAGTGACCTCAAATAGCAAAATATGTGTTTGAAGAACATTTCCCCATCGATGATTTTCAATGAAATGCATTTTACTCGATTTTACAACGCATTTCTTGAAATGCCTGTAAACGGTGAAAATTGGACATTTGACCTGACCTGTGACGTCATCGGT